TTCGTTATAACACCTTTACCATCTGTCACACCATATGGTTTGGTTATTTGTGATGCTGACTAGAATACTAACCCATAAGACAAGGATGTCGTTCATGTCTGGATGCCCAAAATCTAGACCATCCATGGAATTTAGTGGATGCTACTCAAGTAGTCAAAGAACTTTGATGGGTTTTGCTTATTTGTCTGTTTGGTTTTTGTTTTTGTTTTTTGTTTTTGATTCTACAGTCTGGGGAAATTAAGGGTTCTTGTTTTCCAGGTCATTAACCAGCTCTATTGTTATCTTTAGTCAGCCCACTGACATTTGAAGATGGCGGTCGTCTTAAACCTTTCTCAAAAGGCATGCAAATTATGTTGTTCATGTTACCTGAAGGAACCCACTACATGTTTATATTTGCTGATTCAAAGGACCCTCTGACACACCTTTGGGTAGTTTTTCCTCAGCTCTCCCTCAGCTACTTTCAATCCCCATTTCTTCAAATTCTTCGCCCTATCAGCTTATATTGCCAGTCCTTTTTCACATTAAAGATGGAGCCCTAGGAGAGGTGGTCAACACTTGTAAGCTTCGGGGATTTTTGGCAGTGGAGGTAAAGGATGGGAAGGGGGGGGCTGTGCAGCATTTTTGTCGCGAATTAGAAGTGCCAAAAAAAAAAAAATCTGTGCTAAAAACAGCAAGCAGTTGGATAAAAACACTTCCTCTTTTATAATTCTTTCAGCTATTCCATCAAGAGGGGAATGTTGTCCTGTTTTTCCTTGACCAGAGGTGCCAGGCATCCCTTCTCTTCTTGTTTAGCATACCTCTCTCTGCGCACACACACACACACACACACACACACACACACCCTGACCACAGACACCTTCAAACACATTCAACTCACTCACTCTCTCTCTCGCACACACATACACACTCACGTACACACATATGCACAAATTTCTCTTGAATCAGAAGTAGTGACAGGACTGTCACTACAGGGTAACTAGTGAAATCACTTTCCCCAAGGAAAGTATATAAAACATGTTTTGTTTCATCTTTGTAATAAGGTTCACACACACTCACACACACACACACACACATACATATATAAAAGTCTACTTTGGTTTTGCTACTGTTTTGCCCTTGAAAGATAGCCATGTTTTTATTTAATTAGACATCTAGTTTTAACCAAAAGCCATGTATAATGACTAAGAATAAATTAATCAAATTCAACTTCATCACTAACATTTAGCTCATTGTCAGTGTCCTTGAAGTGACAAGTCATCTTCTTACATTGAATTTCAGAATGATCCAATATTATGAACAAGCCTTTATATCCATCCATAAATGTGTCTTGCCTGAGGCTATTCACTGATAGAGATAAAATAAATGCACAAAAACAACAGCAAAAAAAAAATAATCCCTTGTCAATAATTAGAAAGTAAATACTCAGTTTGTGTCAGGAAGCAGACTCAAAGAGAAAGCCTGTGTTCCGTGATTAATTCCATTAATGGAGCAGCAAGAAGAGCCACAGATATGACTTCCTCCCCATACCAGGACTCTAGGCTGGGAGCCAGGGCCTTCTCAGGATGTGTTTGGAACAGCTCCCATCTCAAGAGCCTCCAGAGAGGGCAGGTAATTTAAAGGCCTTCCACGGCACGTAGAGGAATGAGCTGAATCGCAGGGTGTCGGAGAATACTACAGTGAGCATATGGCCATCAGAGGGAGACTTTCGGGGGCCAGTGACTCCTTCCACTGTGTCATCTAGGGACCCAACTCAGAGCCTCAGAGCGTCAGGCCTGCACAGCAGGTATGTTTCGTGCCTTTGCATGGGCATTCTCAACACTCCCATATTTACTCTTAACATCCCAAACACACTCTGTGTCGTTCTCCGTGCATTTCTTGCTTAAATTCTAACCTGTTGCATCTTCTCTCTCTGTTGAACTCGTGTTTATACTGATACACTCTATGGAAAGACACTTCTCCCATGAAGCTTTTCTCAGTCGCACCCCCACTAGGAAAAGAGTGCTTCCCACTCATATGTCCATCATATTCGTTTTTATTTCTCACAGCTATCACTATCATCTGAGTCCCTACCTATCATATGCATGGGTGCAGACCTGCATGGAGTATATTTCAATCATGGTATTTTCAAGAATTCCTGCTTTAGTCTCATCTCTATTCCAAAACCATTTATGAGAATGCCTCTCGTGTATTAGAAATCTAAATAATATCTGTCTTCCAAATACTGGGCATATAAGCAATAACTGAAGAATATGTTTCCAAATGCATTTATTGCCTTGTGACTTGCCACAGAGGTGAGATAAATGCAAATGTTCAATGGACAAATCATCCATCTTTCAAACCATTTCTTTGTATCATTAGCATAGTATGAACCGAAATGCAACTTTCCTAATATTTTAGAAGCTAAGCACACACACACACACACATACACAAACACATACACCTGATTATAATATGATTCTGCTCATCATTTATAAGAAACATAATACTGTTTCTTATTAATTATAATTTTATAAATGGCTCATTTAAATGGCTACAGAACCAGTGAGCATTGCGATTACAAACTAAAATTCTTCAGAAAGCAGAGGGCACTTGACAAGTCCTAAAGTCTTACTTTTCTCATACATTATACTTCAGTGAGTGCATGAATATAACAGCTATCAATCTTCATAACTTAATATTTATAAATAGAGTGAAGAACTCTGTCTTGGAGCTATTTAAATCCCATACTCCTTCACTTCCGTTGGTGAGTTATTATTTCCAGTGTTCTCTGACACAGTGCTAGACAGTCCACTAGCTGTGTTCCAGATGGACCGAACATGCTTTTTATATAGTAGAAGGTGTCAGACCTCTTGGAATTAAAAAAGAAAGACTACACAACTCTGCCTATGCCCTCAAGCCCCAGTTTCCTCACATTTGTTCTATATTATCATTCCATTTTCATGTGACTTCTTTCCCCAGGGGACACTTCGCACCCCGTCTATTTTTCTGTTCAAAATGCAACCAGGGAATAAAAGTACTCAAGTCAAAACTTCTGCAAGCTTGTGAAAGAACTCAGTTGTATCTGATGTCTAAACATACTATGTTGTGCTGTAACTTATTAACACCCAATCTTACTAGACTGAATCATGTGGATTTAACATTAGAAAAAGGTATAGAAAGGTCTATATTCACATTCAAGACATAAACATGATTTATATTCCCTATTATATACTATTTTCTCCTCCCAACTAAAGTATGTAGAAGCAGGCCAGCAAGAGGAATGCAAATAGATCCATACTTATCACCCTGCACAAAACTCAACTCCAAATGGATCAAAGACCTGAACATAAACACCAGAAACACTGACCCTGATAGAAAACAAAGTGGGAAATAGCCTTGAATTCGCTGACACAGGAAAAGACTTTCTTAACACAATACCGCTAGCACAAGCAATAAGCTCAACAATTAATAAATGGGACCTCACAAAACTTTGTCTATATGGCACAGGACACTGTTATTCAGACTATGTGGCAGTCTGCAGGATGGAAAAAGGTTTTCCATTTACAAATCTAATATCCAAAATATATAAAGAATTTAAAAAAAAAACTAAATGTCAAGAAAGCACGTAACACTATTTAAAAACTTTGTACAGATATAAATAGGGAACTCTCAGAAGAGGAAACTCAGTTGGCAAAGAAATACTTAAAATGTTAAATAGTCTTCCATCAGAGAAATATAAATAAAAATTACTTTGAGATTTAGTCTTACACCTGTCAAAATGGCTAAGATCAAAAATAAAAGTGGCAGCTCATGCTGTAAAGGATGTGTAGTAAGAGAAACATAGAACCATGGCTGGCGAGGACGCATACTTGTCTGGAAGTCAGTGTGGCGGTTTCTCAGAAAGATGGGAATCCGTCTACCTCATGATCCATCTATAGCACTCTTGGTCATATACCCAAAGGACACCTCATGCTACCACAGAGACACTTGCTCAGCCATGCTCATTGCTGCTCTATTCATAATAGCCAGGAACTGAAACAACCTAGATGTGAACAGATGAATGGATAAAGAACAAGTCCATTTATAAAATGGAGTATTGCTCACCCACGTAAAATAATGGCATCATGAAATTTGCGGGTAAATGGAAAGAACTAGAAAGAAGTCATCCCAAGTGAGGATGTTTACATATCTCTGTTCCCTTTTGATTTGATGGTTAAGCAGGCAAGTTAGCTACGTAACTGACACATCTCCTGGGAATAAAGATATCAATGATGAGCCTACTTTTATAGCTTCAATTTATGGATCAATCCATGTTGTTATCAGTGACTCTCAGCTAATGAGTGGGGTATATCCTCATCGGGTATAGAAGAACCACCAATGGGGATGGGTATGTACAAACTATCCCAGTTAATATTAAAAATATATTTAAAATTTGAAAATAATTATCCACTTTCTTAAATGCAAATATTATGTCAGTTAGTTCTATTAAAATGTGAGCTGGATGGGGCTGAACATGCCAAAGTCCTGCAGTTTGGAAGGCTTTGGAAGGAAGATTATTAAGTTAGAAGCAACCTGAGCTATGTAAAGAATTCTGTATCGGCTTGGGCTACATGGCAAACCTTGTCACAAAAAGAAAAAAAAAACTCAAACAAACAAACCACACAACAATAATAGCAAAATTGGTAAGTGGGAGCATCAATTTTAAACTAAAGCAGCATCAGTTTATGCTAAAAAAAATGTAGATGTTAAACCCCGTGAATCTAGGAGTTCAGCTCCTTTCCCACAATTCACATTTGTTTTATACGCCACATCTTTAGAAACTGTGACATTATGTTAAGACTTTCATGCAAGAGAATATTTTATAGAAATAAATTGACAGGGAGAAAGAAAAGGACGACGGGGAGAGAGAGATGAAGAGACGGAGAGACAAGCACTCGCTGTCCTAAGTAACATAACAGGCACCACGTGTGGACAGTGCCGGTGGGTGCGTATGGAGCTTGGGCTGTAATAAATGCACTCACCTCGGTTAAGTGAGGATTGGGGTTAAAACCACAGAGGCTACAGACGGTGGTCTGACACTCAGTGCATGTGTTAAAGTTGGCCTTTTCTGGACTATGCAACAGAAGTTCAGTGGTGTTGCAAAGGGGACAGATGGTTTTGGAGAGGTCTTGTCCTGGAGTCTGTGCTGCAGAAGTCGGTGGTGGCTGCAGAGGTCTTACAGAGACCGTTTGGCTTGTCGGTTTCATAGGCTGTTGTTGAGCTGAGGGTTTCGCTGGAGCGGGCTGTTGAGCTGAGGGTTTCGCTGGAGCGGGCTGTTGAGGCTGGGGCTTTGCTGGGGTGGGCTGTTGAGGCTGGGGCTTTGCTGGGGTGGGCTGTTGAGGCTGGGGCTTTGCTGGGGTGGGCTGTTGAGGCTGGGGCTTTGCTGGGGTGGGCTGTTGAGGTTGGGGCTTTGCTGGCGTGGGCTGTTGAGGCTGGGGCTTTGCTGGCGTGGGCTGCTGAGGCTGGGGCTTTGCTGGAGTGGTCTGTTGTGGAGGCTTTGCAGGAGCTGGCTGCTGAGGCTGGGGTTTCACTGGGGTAGGCTGCTGAGGCTGAGGCTGAGGCTTTGCTGGGCCTGGCTGTTGAGCTGGTGTCTTCCCAGGTCCAGGGTGCTGAGTTGGAGGAGTCTTTGTAGGCCCAGGTACCTTAGCTGGAGGCTGTGGGCCAGTTTGTTGAGCTGGGAGTTTTGCTGTTCCTGGCTGCTGAGCCGGGGACTTTAATGGCCCTGGTGGAATCTTTCCAGGACCAGGAGTTTGAGTTAAAGGCTTTGGCCCGGGCTGCTGAGATGAAGTCTTCTCGACTCCAGCCTGCTGCACCGAGGGCTTGGATGTCACTGGAGGTTGCACTGGGGCCTTCACTGTCCCTGCTGGTTGAGCTGGGGACTTTGTTGGCCCTGGCTGCTGGACTGTGGCCTTTGCAGGTCCGGGTTGTTGGGCTGCAGATTTCCCAGGACTTGCTTGCTGAGCTGGTGTTTTGGCTGGGCTCTGCTGGGAAGGCTTTCCTGGTTCTGAAGGTTTAGTCTGAGGCCTGGCTGCGTCTCTTTCAATAGGCAGCTTTGTCTGGTCCGTCTGCGGAGGCTGGGAAGATGCCTGGGAAGGCTTTCCTGTGCTGGGGGCTTGTGGTTTTATTTTTTCTGCTTGTTGGGAAGATGCTGACTTGGGAGAGGGGTCCTGCTGTATCCCTTCCTTCACTGGCCCTTGCTGTTTCGGAACCGACTTGGGTGAGGGCTGTTGTAAGGGAGGTTTTGTGATTCCTTCTGATTTCCCTTGGTCCTTCTGAGCAACTTTTTGTTTCCTTGTTGTTTCCTCCTGGGATGCTTCAGAGTCCGATATCAAATCAAAAGGGTTGAATTTATTTACTACAGAGGAGACAGCACTTAAAGGGTTAACGTCTGAGAAGAAACCGGGCATCAAACTAGGCTTGTACTCTTCCTTAAAATCAGTTCTGGACTTGGATTCTTTCAAGCTAATAGTGGACGGACTCCTTCCAGGCAACTTCTGCTCCGACCTAAATGTGTCTGTAGTTCTGCTTTTACTGAGTCCAGGCTGAGCGGGACGCCCAGGGTCTGGGGGCTTTCCGGGTTGCTTGGGAGACTGACTACTATCCAACTCTTGTTTCCTGGAAAATTGAAAACAGCGGAAGTTATTTCAAATCAAATCAATATTTAAAGTTATTGTTTTCTTGTAACTCAAACGTATGAAGCCCCAGTTTGTATACTGCAGCCTAGATGGAACATAAAATTTTCCTAGTCTGTTACTTTTTTGAATGGGTAGACATTTTAACAAGGTAGTATAGCAAAAGCAGCTTGTTGGTGACGAAAACTTATGTGGATAAACAATATAAACTTAGACAAATATACTTACTAGACTATAACATATAGGTTTAAAAAGTAAAACTGCATTGTCAAGATAATGTCATATCGACTATCTCTAGTATGTAATGTCATACATGACTATGTCTCCTTTTTGATCAAAAACTTATGGTCAAAGAAAAACAAAGAGAATTAAGAAGTTGCTTTAAAATATAACAGCTTGCCTGTTTTGTTTTTACTTAATTTTGATAATTCGTAGTTACCTAAGGCACACTGTAATATTTAGGTGAGCTGCAGTAATGGAGCTAAATGATACCTTTTTAGCACAATGAGAAATCTAATGCTTTACACAATTTTGCTTTGTTCTACTTGGAATGGTAACACCCATCAAACGCTATCCTTATTAAACCTTATAAAGATTTGTATGTTAGTTACTAAACTTCTTTGAGAAACAAACTTTCTTGTGCAAGGCCAGTATTACTTTATCCGTTCTAATAGTTAATTATTAATGTGGAATTTTTATGCAGCATCACAGCTGAGACTTAAAGTATCTTGAGATAACAGCCTGATAGCCAAGCAGTATGGAACCAGCTATGGCCCCATTTTTGAAAACTGCTATTACTTTCTTCAGTCGAAGAAAACATGTAATCACTTCATTTAGTGATTGTTACATTGCTTAATTATCTTATCTATTATCACTGATATTGCTAGGCAGGTGTAACAAGAAGCTTTACATGACAATTTTTTAAAACAACCTGTAAATATGATAAACTTTAAGTGATATGAGTTGAATGATTAAGACAGATATTTACAGATATGTTGTCATATTAGGTATGTTAAATTTTGAATGAGCCACTTCTGTCAGCAACAAAAGTGCACTGATTTCCTCCCACACTATAGCAGTGGAGAAAAACAGATAAGGAGTTTTGCTTCATTAATGCCACTTTCTATTTGGAAAATGCATATTTCTGTTTGAAAGAAACAAGGAAAAAGAATGCATGATTTGGGAGCACCTGAAATGTAAGATGGCCCCAAAGAGTTCTACATCTTTTATTCAGTTTGTCCAAACAGGCTAGTTAGGGACACAGCCACACATTGTCAACTTTGTGGTGTTTAATAATTCTCTTCAGGACTTCCCTAATGCTTACAGTATGAATCAGGATCTAAGAGATAGTTAAAAGAAATGGAAAAGTATTACTAGTAGCAAAGACTGAGTGAAAATATTTTTTCCACTGGCACATACGCATAAAATGACGTCATAAAGTGACTAAATATGGTAGAGTGTATGTAGCTCACTGGTGCAGTGTCTGCCCGGTTTATCCAAAGTGCTGCATGGATCCCAGGACTGCACACTATCGATGCTAACTATAATAGAAGAGTTTGGGATGGTCCCTCCAGGAAAGGTTTTTTTTTTTTTTAAGAAAATATTTCACTATGTTTCCAAAGGCTTAATTTTAAAAGAGACCCAACGCTATTTCTTGAGTCATTACTCAAAGCGCTGTGATATGTTTTTTTAAAGTCATTGCTATATATTTGCATTTGGACATAATATAAGAATGTCTTCCTAGGACATCCTACCTGCACCTCCCCAACCGCCATCAGAAGGCAGAAGAGTCACCATAAATAACTGAACATAGGTTATTTCCAAAGAGATAATCTATACATTGTATAGATTTTGACATTATTCTGAAATTGGTTCTGCATTCGAGTTAATATAATGCAAAACTCCCTTGAAAGGACTTTGGTAGAGTTTGTGCCTATATTATAAGTAATTGTTAGGAATTTCACCGAACTGAACCTTTGTATGTGGTCTTTGAAAGTTATCTTTAAACAAAGGCCAAGGAAATATATTCTTGATTTTTATTGTCATTTCTTGAAAATACTATTAAATTATCTTAATCTGTGTCTTGTGACACTGCCTCTTCACTTAATCCAATGTATGTGTAATAGCAAGTGAAAAAAAAAGAACTTTACAAATACCAAATATTTGTTGTAACAGAAAACATCAAAATTGAAAACAAGCTGCATGTACTACACATCATAATACATTATAATTGCATAAATATCCCAGAAATATTAAGTTGTGCTGTCAGAAAAGACATGCATAGCCACAAAGACTGTCCCCAAATTCTAACTTGGCTTTAATGGCTGTCAGTATGTGGATTCAAGTAAAAAAGAAAAACAGAAAGAAAATCACCAAGATAGCGACTTGACACCACACAAAAATGTAAAGCTGCCTGAGAGAAAGTGATCTCGTGAACCGTTTGCCACATCAGCCACTCTACTGGAAACTGAGCTAAAATGCAAACTCTGCTTACACGCTGAACTGTGAGCTAGGAGAGGACATTTGCCCATCTTTTCATTGCCAGCATCAGGGCTGGAAGGAGAACAGTGCTAATGTTCGATAAATCCGAGAACGAATGAATGTGAAAACCAATGGAGGAACGCAACAGGTCCTTGCTTCACTCTCGATTAAAGTTTCTTGAGTTCCTTTCCCTGCAAAGCCTTCTACAGGTCTTCTAAGATTTTAAATGTATACTTCCCTTATTCACTTAAGAACCCGGACTTGACCTATTGTTCTATAGTAAAAGAAAAACAAACAAACAAAAATGGCGCAGCAGATGGCCACTCAGTAGGGGAGGCTCAGAGGAGCACTAAAGGAAACCATCAACTCCCAGATTTTATCTTCTGTCACAAAAGTGTGCAGTAGGTAGGGCCTTCTCATACCCCGGCTTCACGAAACAAGTGAATAGTACAAATAAAAATGTCTTTCCCTAAGTCTACAATGAATCAATGTCAAGAAGAAATTTTGTTCATAACCTTATTCTGATTCTAGCCTAAATTATTTGTGTTTAATTGCACATCCTTTTTTTTTCATTTTACTAATGCTATTCCCAAATTAGAACTTTTCTTTCATAAGTTAACAGAGAAGCTGTTTTGGATAAAATGATATTTCAGGCATATGCAAATATAAAAATCTGAACCAGCTGGAATGATGAAATGTTTTTAAATGTAACACAACAACAGTCAATGACACTTAATTTGACAGTGCTGAGTCACATAAAATATTCCATATCAGAAATAAAAATACCTAAGAAAGAGCTATTCACTTTTATAAGTAGAGAGGACATAGGATTTAAAAGGCTAAGAGAAAAATTCAAAGTCATAAAACTAGGTAAGGAAGTTGGGCCTCCAGCCTCCTAATGAGGGTGCTTCTGTGAGGACTCTCACTTATTCACATGTAAAGGAATAAAATTTGCATCATTAGCATTTCTAACAATGCATACAACACACAGCTTGTGTGGGGCCATAATTGAGACCTTTCTAGGGATGGCATTGAGATTAGCATGCTTATATCTTTCACTCCTTCCTATTAAAAATCCAGCAAAATGTCCCTGTGAACTTGAGTCATCCTCAGAATGACTTCCTAAAACAGGTAAGACAGGTTTTTATTATCTTCTTTAGAATCCAGGAACATGAGACACACATGAGTAGGGAAATGCATATTAATTTCCTATGAGTCACAAAAAAAATCAATGCACTAAGAACCTGAGTACTGGAGCTGAAAATCCTTACTTCTCAAAAGTAAAGCCAGATAGATAAATTCTGCCATGTCTAATCCATGCATCTAAAAGTCTAAAAATCTGAAGTAATCTGGACCTTTATATGCACGTATATTTAATTAATATGATCTTAAAGGTCTAAATGGCAAGGTCAAGTGGATCTCTCAATATTATATATAATGCATATTTTCCCAAAAGTATACTTTATAAAAATACCTTGGCAAAATATGTGTGTGAGAAAATAAAAGAAAATATTGTGTATCTTTTACAAATCTTTACCAATTGCAATTGGGGGCAGAAATCGCCTAATAATAACAGTGCCAAAGTGTTCAGTTGCTAATGAGGAACTTTGTAAGCATACTGCATACACATACAACATAAAGCAGCAGTTATATTGACAGATATTTTTCTCCAGCCATTTGCTGTACATAAGCAAAGGTAAAACACCAATGATCTCGGTCATATTTGCAACCATGCTAGACCTGTTGCATGTGCCCCTCTGGAAAAATTAGAGATCTGGCTAAGAAAAGCTCTGCTGCTCACTATGATCCTAAAATGACACGCTAAGTGAACATTTTTTTTCTTTCAAAGTCAGGATTTTAGCAAGCAGAGAAAAACAGCTCCTCTTATAAATTATTTAAGAAAAGCTTCAAGCCTTTACTAGTTTTCAACAATAAAAGATTTTTAAATTTGGGAGCTAATTTTCAAGCTACTGTGGTTTCTTTCAAATTAAATGGGATTTTTCACCCAACAGAGTTCAACATTTCAAGATCACTACCCTTAAGAAACTTAATCTGCTCCTGTGATAGGTTTATTGTGATAGCTGGAAAAAGCAGCATTTGTGTTAGCATGCTGGCAGCTAAGATGAATTTTTTTTTTAAGTTTATGAAGTAGAACATTCTTTACCTATACATCCAGCTCTTTCATACTTTTGATACCTCAAGTCAAGATCGTGTAAGTCCGGTTAAGTAGTAAAAGGATGTTTCAGGACCATGGATAGCTATTTGTTCTGCCTAAGGGTGTGAAGTGAAAGGGTTTGTTTACAATAATAAAGGCGGAGAAAGCATGATTATACCCTCTCGGTACCTAATTAGAAAACAACTCATTCATTAGAAAGGGGGGAAATGGAAAGCTGGAGAGGAAATGAATATGTTAATATTACAGATTAGCTTTTATAATTGCCTGTGCAAATTGTCATTTATTTATCCTGTTTTTAAGTGTGGATTGAAACCTAATCTCAAGATAATGCAAATTCCCATCTTCCATAACTGAAAGTCATTTTTGCATAAAACAGAGCAATGGTTTAAAAAAACCACCATATGCTAATTCTGAAATACATGTACAGCACCTGCTCTGCTGTGACCGAACCATCTGTTTAATGTCACAAAATATCTCAGGGCCTCTCTCACTGAATATAAAAGGTGTATTTATTCTATGCCTTTTACCTAGGCAGCTCCTGTTCTCTGGGGAAAGGTTGGGAATGGAGGACCAGTCACCTCCAGGGGCTTAAGGGTATTGTTGCAGATATATTTACACATCATTTCCAGAGAAAAAGATCTCAGAACACTAAGGAGGTTTAAGCGTACAGGTAAACACGCAACCCAGCTCTATCCATTTTCCAACACGTCTGTGATGTATCACTGGAAGATTTCCAGATTAGTAAAACACTGTAGGGCATCTCTCCACACCACCCTAGAGGGAAAAGGTTACAAAAGGCCAAACATTTTAAAAAAAAATTTAAAAATCACACCCTAAAATCACAATTCCAAGAATGCAATTCATGACTATCCCACCAGAAACTCTACACTGCATCATTTTTATTCCGCCCATCCAAAGCTTAGGATCGCCTTATGGCCACCCCATTAGGGAGAATAAAATGAAGGGAGGCGACATATATGTACCACCGCGCGGGCACACACACATACGTGCACGGGAAGCGGTATATATATATATGCCTGGACCTGTCCATCATGCTGTGCGTGCCTGTGCATAGAAGGCGACTCCGCAGCGGCCGCGGGGACGCTTCCCTTGGGCAGCCCCTGCGCCCTTGACATGACAGCAGCGATCTGTCTCCTCTCCTCCTCGCTCAGCTGGCTCAGGTCCGCCTCCATGCCGGCAGGGATTCCGGGGTGCAGGGCGCTCCCCGAGCCGCCAGCCCCGCCTGCGGCCGCCGCCAGCCCTTCGGGGAGCCCTTCCCCTTCCAAGCTCGCCTCGTTGCCCATGGCTCTCGGCGGGACACGTCCCGGTGCAGAAGCCCGCGGCCGCCCGAGCCCCGCCAGCCGGGGTCCGCCCCGAAGCGTGCAGGCTGCCCAGCCCGGGAGGCTCGGGGCCCTCTCGGCTGCCCGGTGCGGCGGGGGGGGGGGGGGGATGAGCGCGAGCTCAGCGCGGTCCGCAGGCGACGCCCGCGGCCGGCCGCTCCTCCATGTTGGACAGCGCCAGGGCGAGCGCCTCGCTGCCTGCCTCCCGGTGGCCGCCTCAGCGCCGGAGCAGCCCGGGCGCGGCGGAGCTCGACCAGCCCGGCGCCGTCGGCCCCGCCCCGCGCCCCGCCCCCTCGCCGCGCCCGCACTGCGCGTGCGCCGCCCCAAACAGGTGATGTCCGCCACGCCCCCCCCCCTCCGCCCTGCGTCGCGTCGCGCGTCGGCGCCCGGGCACCGGCTTAAAGGCTCCGGGCGACGCCGCGGTGAAAGGGCCGGGGCGAGCCGCGGACGCTTCTCCCAGGCGTGTCGCAGGTTGTCTCGGTCTGAGTTTTCACGAACTCAGTTTAAGGACGGGAGGGCTTGGGAGGGGCGATGACTGCAGCGTTGCCCTCTGGGATTTGTAGTTTCGTTTCGGGGGGGGGGTTGTGTTGCCCCTCCCCCCCGCCGCCCCCTGGGGACTGGGAAAGGTTCTTTAAAGCTCCTAAGGAAGGTTCAGGTAGCTAAAGATGAAAGAGGAAGAATCTTCCTACTTTTGAGGTCAATTTCCCAGGATGAGATAAAATGGCCCTTATCTTCTAGAACTTTTCCAGACCATTAGATGAAGACATTTCAAAGTGATAAATTAGTAGATAGATAAGAAATCAGATGCTTATATCTTGCGCTGACTCCACGGGGAACTACAGCAACGTAAAGAATTATGGGAAATTGTCCACCTAGGAAGCATCAGATTGTTAAGTATGTTGTACAGTAATGGGAAACTTGGAAATCATGGTTTCCACCCCTTTTATTGTTTTATTTTACAAATGTAGAGAAGTAGGTAAACCCCATTAATCTCACAGCTGCTTAGCAACAGAAATGCCTACGTTTATAATACCCCACCACCGTAGACACACACACACACACACACTTTCTGCTCCTTTCCTTAAAGATTATTTCAGTTATCGCTCAGTATGAAACTCCAAATTTGCTATATAATTTTTTTCATGAAATTTATTTAATGCTTCAGCATTTGAGCTTAAAGAGACCAAAAGCTAAGAATCAGACGTGAATTATTAAACAGATTTGAACAGGCATTCAGAAAATAAGTTTCCATGTTTTGTTAAAAAAAATCTCTGTAGTAACTCTGGGGCATCTACTTCTCTTAGCACAGTTGTAACCATCTCTGGCTACACTTATTAATTTAAAAATGGCTACTCAATAGAGGAAATGCATTATTTGTTGTGTCCTTAGAAACTGATCAAACTTTGGTTCTCTGATAATATATTGGGGATGTAACTTCCAAAGTCAAAGCTGTAAGAGTAATTCTTTGAGAGAAAGAGGATATTCTCATAAACGAATTAAGCCTAGGCAATCAGACATCCTGATAATCCCATCTGGAGGCAAATAGAATATGCTAAAGCTTTTTAAAAGGGAGTTTACTTCAAAGAACATGATTAAAAACAAAATCCTAAATCCTGTAGTACTTCTCTTTCAAAACCAGCAACTGTTCCACAGTTGGACACTGAATGGAAATTTGTAACAACCATAACCAACAGGGAAAGGGGAGAGTCACATGTTAACTGTTTTCTCGGGCTTTGTGGGAATAAAATATTATTTGACGTATGCACAACCACACACCACAAGCTTCAACCTGTAGCTTTAGAGTAATGATTAAGCTGAGAAAAATCCCATTAATTTTTATATATTCCTGAAAAATGGAAAGGAACCCACCAAATATTAAGAAACAAGTCAGCGATGATCTCTATGCAGACTAAGAAGATTAGAACTTGTAAGGTCGGAGTAATACATGGCCCATTTTCGCAGTCTTCTTTCTTTTTCTCCTTTCCACCCCTCCCCCGGAAGCAAACTCCTGATGTGGGAGTGATTTCTTACTAATAAAGAAACTGCCTCGGCCCTCATAGGACAGAAAATTAGGTAGGCGGAGTAGACAGAAGAGAATGCTGGGAAAAAGAAGCTGAGAGTGAGTCGCCATGATGCTCCCACTCCAGACAGACGCAGGTTAAGATCCTCCCTGGTAAGCCAGCTCATGGGCTACACAGAATATTAGAAATGGGTTCGAACAATATGTAAGAGCTAGCCAATAAGAAACTGGACCTAGCCGGGCCAGGCAGTGTTTGAAAAAATACAGTTTCCGTGTAATTATTTCTGGGTATAAACTAGCCATGCGGGCGGCCGGGTGCCGGGGACGCAGCCCTGCCGCTCCTAATGTCAACAAACTCCATCAGAAAATGAAAATGTGCTGTATGGTGAGGAAATAAATGAACTGTTAAACGAGATTAGAGAACCAGAGAACGAAGGACATATTTTGAGTGTTGACTTTCAAAAATGACTTCATCTTTAGGACCTTCTAAATGCCGGGTGTAGGATAGCTATGTTCTTTTTTTTATTTTCTATTTGGGGATAATTTGCTAGTTCTTGGAGGTGAGTTGTTGATGTTTTGTTTTTGAGACAGGGTTGTATGTAGCTCAGACTGGCATGGAACTGGTAATGTAGCTATGAATGGCTTTGAATATCTTCCGCTGCCTATGGGGTGCTTGGGATACTACATCCTACTTCATGCCTGCTGTGTAAACACTCTACCCACTTTGACAGGAACAGAAACACTAAAGCAGAGCCAAGTGCTTTCCTTTTGCGTGAATCATTAGAAATCTGAAGTACAATTCAGGTTGTGGAGAATGGGCAGAACTCAAGGGGTATAGAATGTCACGGAAGTTCCTGTTTTCCGGGGGCGGGCTATCAATTTAATAGAGTAAACAGACTGGTGATTCCCCTCCTGGCAGAATCTGTTGCCCAATGCTCATTATATAGTCACACTAATGACATTTTACTAAATCTGTATTTAATTGAAAATAGTTGAGCTCTAATTCATTCTGCCTGACACGGTGATCAGGAAACAAGTGAGTTTCTGAAACCCTCTACTCATGCATGCCACCTCAAGTGGTGGCTCCAGAGAGTGAGGTCTTTCCATTCACTCCTCATCTCAATTTCCCACATAGATTATAATGTAATGGGTAACATGATAGTTAGCAACTAAACATGATTGGGAAATAATACCTTGGAAAACAATCCAGTTGACCACGTTCCTGCAATTATCATTCATACTAAGACATTAAAAAAAAAAACATAATCACACCACTGACCATATATAAAATACCTGAACTAAATCCTTGAAATAATTAAAATTATAGTAGCTTGCAAATTTAGGTAGGAAAGTTGAGGGGATGAGGGATGGCGGGTCATGAGAAGAGGAAAGGCAGGTGAGGAGGGCAGGCGGGTGTTGGGGGTGGGCAGGTGATGGGGATGGGCAGGTGATGGGGCTGGGCAGGTGTACCTGTAAGATACCCTGAAGATAGAGTGCTGGTCTCCAGAGAGTCAGCACTCACCAAATGCACAGCCCTTCATAGTGGAACTTACGCATGGCCATCAAGAGATAAATGGGATTTCCTTCCCCCTTTTACTAGAGCCAAAACCATTTTTTTGTGCTTGTTTTGACAGCAAACAACCAACCTCCAACTATAAACCTAGGTGAATGCTATGCAATTCCCAGGTCAGTCTGGCAGCTTTGCCTTCTCTGTATCCCCATATCTCAGGGTATTAAGATTACATGGAGACAAATGTAGTTCCCTAAAAAGCTAGCTTCACAGCTAAGGCTGCCGAGGTCCTTTAGTCCTGTGACCAAGCTGAGCCCCCTGCTGGTTACAGTTGCATCAATAAGCTGAATGTAAACAACAGAACTAAGCAATGGACACAGCATCACAAAAAGAATCATGATGATGATGATGAAGATGCTAATGATGTCAATATTAACGAGATACTAAGACGAAGAAGTGCTGCTCTTAAGTCGCATGGTTTTGTGGTTTCAGTTAAACTATATAACTGATAATGCCAGATTTTGCACACTGTGATTACGTATAATTTTTCCAAGTTCCCTTTTCACTATGTGCCATATAATTACTGTTTACTGTACTTATAATTCAATTTAATGTAAAACTGAGATGGAGCTATTTGTTCAAATCTTCCAGATCTACTCTTCAACACCATGAAATAGAAAGGTCCAATTATTTTGAATACTTGCATGTTTATTTCGTGAAAAGCCACAATAAAAATACTTTGTGTTTACATTTAAACTCTAACTATAACCAATATAAAGTTATACTAAAGCATGCAAAACATACCCATACAAAGTTTTCTGAGGGGTATTTATACATACATCATAGAAACTACTGAAGGAGGGGAGTATATTCTTGAGATTCCATGTAAGACAGCTGTCTAGATAACAGCTGTTCAGATGCCTGGAAAAAACTTGAGGTCGGAGATTGAAAAATACTTGCGAGGAATTGCAAACACAGTATCAATTGTTATATACTGTACACTGATCAGTTGAAACCAATTGCCATTCATCTTAAACCATAAAGGAGGTAGGAGGTCACTATCTAGGGGATACTGGTGTGGGAAGTCCTTCTGTGTATGTGTTGCTTTTATTGGCTTATGAGTAAAGCTGTTTCGGCCAGTGGCTTAGCAGAACAGAGCAAGGCAGGAATTGCAAGCAGACAAAGGAGAAAAGAAGGCAGAGTCAGAGAGATGCCCATGAGAGCCCACTGGAACCTTGCTGGTAGGCCACGACCGCATGGTGATGCACAGATTAATAGAGATTGGTTAATTTAAGATATAAGAGCTGGCTAGCAATACGCCTAACTGATTTGGCCAAGCAGTGTTTTAATTGGTACAGTTTCTGTATGTGTGTGTGTGTGAGAGAGTGTGTGTGTTTCAGGTCTGGGCAACCAGGAATGAACAAGCTGCCTCCGCCTACAGGATACCTGGCATTACTAAGGTTCACAATATGTGGAAAGTCAGATATTTTGAAAATACGAGCG